GCAACCTACATGGAGACCAGGTCAGCAGGCAATGTATGCCAATAATTCTGGGGTGATAAACCCTCCTTATCCTGACCCGCACAATGCAACTCATAGCAAAGACACTGTAAGAGCAATTTAAACCTGAATCCATATGCAAGGATTAAGCCAAATCTCAAAATCAGAAACAGCCAACAGCAAGCACAGATTTAGCACTTTTTCAACTTCTGGCAATTCTCAATTTAACAATTAAATTGTGCTGAACAATATGGCCCCAGCATAAACTGGGACAAGATCTACAGTCAACTTCCATGGATGACAAACCTGTCAAAATGAACCATTTAAATAATCACAACGCCAAAGGAGCACCAATTTAATGGACTTGGTAAAGCGCTACAGTCATCCCTCAACATTTGATTCGATTAGGAACACAATAGGGGGGGAAAAACCCAATGAATAATAAAAAAGCACTTATTTCTACCTGATCGAAGACCTCTCTAAAAGTCTCTAGGTGAGTGGTCCTCAACCTGTGGGTCCCCAGGTATTTTGGCCTACAACTCCCAGACATCCCGGCCAGTTTACCAGCTGTTTGGATTTCTGGGAGTTGTAGGCCAAAACATCTGGGGACCCACAGGTTGAAAATCACTGCTCTAGGTCTTCCAGCATGACTCTATGGTTAATTTCCAATAGAATAATTCTGGAGGACCTATACATGCCTGGACAACTGTATTCTCTAGAAATATCAAAGTCTTTCTGCACAAGAAGTTGACTGGAGAGTTGCGCCAGAGAACACAGAGATTCCTAAAGATAACATATTAATCAAATCCACAAATAATCAAATTTGCAAAAGTGGAGGGCCAACTGTACTCTAAATGATAGGCTCTCTTGGAAGTCATGATGGCAACTGAATGGCTTCTAAGGACAAAGGCTGAGCTGTGCCTACACTGTGCTCACATTAAACAGTGCTATGTATTCAGACCATCCAAATTCTGATCCTCAGGTAGTACAAATTGAGCATATATATATAATTTTTCCTATTCCATCTAATTTAGTAAGTATTTTCTACTACTTTGCATGGTTTTTTTGGGGGGTTTTTGTGGGGTTTTTTTTTGCATTTGTCTGTCACTAGAAGGGACAACGCTCTACAAAGCAAGTGAGGTCTTGTTGACAGTCAATATGTCATGAAATATATTATATATGGTTTGAATGGAATTGATTGAAAGGTGAACTGAATGAGAGCTAATAATTTTGGAGACACCATTCTAAAATAGTGAGGCCCGGAAAACAACTACACTCAGGAATTGTAATTAAAATCTGCTAATGAGAACTGAAATGGTTGACCTGCCCTAGTAAACTGTGAACTGTGACAGTGATTAGAGAAATGTTTACATCTGTTTGCATCTGTCAACATTTGCTGACCGGAAACAGGATTAATTCTCAGGGAAATTATCTCTGTTTACCTTAGTCAAAGGCAATGCTCTTTCAAGTCAAACCCAGGACACAGTGGTTCATAACCAACACCAATTAAGAAGAATCAACATCTGTCCAGGAACTGATGGAATCAATATGTTTCAGGCCGAAAAAAACATCTCACATTAATTACAACTTTGGGACAACATCAGCAGAAAATATTGCTATATGAGAGACCTTATTACAATCCAAAAAGTGTGACAGACAGCAGTGTTGTTCACCCACCATGCTCTATGGAAAGAGATGGTGTATGAGGAGTGTCAGATCTGCAATGGAAAGCAGGATTTTGGACACTTGCCTGCCTCCTTTTTTCAACAAAAGAGAAAGAAGTGTGTGTTTTGGAGTTATGTTGCAGGGAGTCAGTTTCTGCTGTAGGGATCTGATACTTGGCATTGTTCTTAGGTAAAGAGGATGCATTTTGGCATTTTAGAAGTTTTGGAAGTATTGGAAAAGTGGCAGCTTTGCAAGGAAGCAGTCTGGCCTAAGAGGTGTTCTTCTACAGGAGAAATTGTAATATTTGTATGCATGAGGATGGCTGAATGAATGTATGGGTAATGTGAATGCTGAGCAAAAATGTAATTCCCCTTTGTAGGTTAGTTAGCCAATGTAACTGTAGGTTGTTTGTGAATTCAATGTGGTTACATAGAATCTGTATGTCTATATGTCTAAATGTTGTTCTCTAAAAGTTCTGATACCCTTTCTCTTACTGGAAAATTGCAGTAAAATGGATCTATCCTTTCAAGTTATTGAAAAGTTATTCATAACAAATAGATGTTAAGGTTAAATAATAATAAGTGATCCAATACAACAACCAGCATAGTGATCTTGTTTGCTGTGTACTAATCTTGTTGTGTTTCAAATAATAATAATAATAATAATAATAATAATAATAATAATAATAATAATGTCAAAGGCTTTCATGGCTGAGGATGCTTCTCGTAGATGCAGATGAAACATCAGGAGATAATGCCTCTAGAACATGGCCATATAACCTGAAAAAACAACAACCCTATTGTTGTTGTTGTTGTTGTTGTTGTTGTTGTTGTTATTTCTTATGTGCCTATCTTCAAAGTTTGAGGTGGGTATAACTTATTTAAAACTCAGCAGAAACAAACTATGTTCAAACACTGTAAATTTCTGTCCTTCATGACTGGGAATAATAAACTTAAAAGCAGAGTCCAGAAATGTTACCTATTTTTGAATACATTTCCAAGGGGAAGTAGAGCCAGCAAATTGTTGGGGTTCAAGTGTTGGACTCGGACTCTAGCAAAACAAGGTTCGAATCCAACTTAGCCATAGCAACCTTCAAGTAAGTCATATCCTCTCAGCCTTAGAGAAAGGCAATGGTAAATCCTCTCTGAACAACTTTTTACAAGAAGAGTTGCCTTTGAGTCATTCCAACATGAAGACACATAAAGACAACTGAAATTTGACAGTGGCCAAGTTGGCTGGTGGGTTCTGGAAGTTACAGTGCAAAATGAAGAATTTTCTAGCTTTGCTACTAAACATGTTATTCTCAACCATGAATAATAGGGTTGGGTTTTTTTTTTTTTTAGAAAAGGCGAAAGATAAGAATCATAGCAAGCCAGAATCCGTAATCAGCATCCCATTCTGTGCTTCTTTCAATGAATCACAACATATTCACCAGCCCGATGTGGTAAGATAGAGAGCCAAGATAAAAACAAGCATGAATAATTTGTGACAAAGACCCCTAATAGACAAAGAAAAACAAAAAGCAGAAGATTGAATAAGGAATCTCTTTTGTACTCTTGGAATAAGAACCTCTAGTGCCTTCATAGAGGACGCAGAGGTGGCAAAGGGAACTAATGACATTAAGATATATCATGACAACCTAATTTGTCAGGGAGGAGGGAGAAAGGAAAATAGAAAGAAAAGTATTTGCAGCTTCAGTTCTCAGAAAAAGTGGCTTCTCCCTAGCAAAGGCTAAAGGACATTTGGCTTCTATTAAAGGGCAATATTTAATTAACTCTAAAAATATAATAACTGAACTACACATGCTATGATCAAGTAAAGAAGGAGAAGCTACTGCACTCCCTCTTCTATTTGTCTGTCTGTTACAATTGGGGGAAAAATCCCCATCCTGCTTCCTTTTGTGTTGCTTATTTCCTGTGTAACTGCTATAAAAAGGAATAGAAAGATGGTAAAACAGAAAGTTTTAAGCTGACCAAGTAGCTATCCTTCTCCTGATAAAGCAGCAATTTTACACTTCAGCTTTATACTCACTATATCGACCTGCAAGATGCAATAAGTCATTTTGAAACAGCTCAGTTACTGAAAGGAAGAGATGCTTTGTCCATTACAGGAAAAATATAAAACCTGTGTTGCTAAGAGTACACAATCACATTTACAGTTCAATACCACTTTAACTGTCATGGCTCCATTTTACAAAACCCTGGGAATTGTATTTTGGTTTGGTAGTATGAGAGGTCTAGGCCTTTTCCCAGCACTATAGCACCAGAGTGACCTAACAGAGAACTGGAAGTACTACCAAACTACATCTCATGCAAGTATTCATTTATTTATTTACAG